GGATAAAGAAGGGAGAGGTGGAGAGGAGGGATAAAGGGATAGGAGAGAAGAGGGGAGAACAGAGAGGGAGAGGGGGAAGGGGGAGAGAAAGGGGGAGAAGAGAGAGAGAGAGAGAGAGAAAGGGGGAAGGGGAGGAAGGGAGAGGGAAGGAGGAAGAGGTAAGAAGAGAGAAGAAGGAGGGAAGAGGTAAGAAGAGAGAAGGAAGGAAGGAAGAGAGAAAAAAGAGAGAAGGAAAAGAGATAAAGAAAGAACAGGGAAGAAAGAGGGAAGGAATGAAGAGGGAAGAAAAAAAGAGGGAGCAGGAAGAAAAAGGAAAGAAAAGAGAACGGGAAGAGGAGAAGAAGAGACAGACATATGGACAAGAAAAAAACAAAACAAGAAAGAAACGAGAGAGGGAAGCAGCGAAGAAGATCAGAAAAGAAAGAGGAAGGGAGAAGGGAGAAGAGGGAAGAAGAAGAAGAAGAGAGAAGGAGGAGGAGGAGGAGGAGGAGGAGGTGGTTATGGACGGACGTGCAAGAACAAGACGCATTCAAGGCCATTCTTGTCATAAAGCCTACACTACCGACTAACGATGGATGGGGGACGAGGGGGGAGGGGGGGGAGGGGAGGAAGGGGCGGGGTGCGTGCTGGGTAATGGTAATAACAGTGTAGGGAGGGAGAGGATGCCATGGGAAGGAGGGACGGATGGGAGGGAGAGGTTATGGGAGGGAGGGACGGAGGGAGGGAGAGGTTACCATGGAAGGAGGGAGGGAGGAGGGAGAGGTTACCATGGAGGGACGAGGGAGAGGAGAGGATGCCATAGGAAGGAGGGAGGGAGGGAGGAAGAAGGGAGGTTACCATGGAAGGAGGGAGAATACCATAGGAAGAGGGAAGGAGAGACCACGAGGAGGGAATGAGGGAGAGAGGACACCATGGGAAGTAGGAAGGAGAGACGGAGAGAGGGAGGACACCATGGAGAGAGAGGGAAGGAAGGAGGGAAGGAGTGAAGGGAGGGAGGACACCATGGAAAGAGGGAGAGAGAGAGGGAGGGAGGGAGAGTCTTAGAACAGAAACAAGAGACTTTGGAAATCTCAACATTTAAAGAGGGGGGAGGGGAGAGGTCTAAACAATGTACTGATCAGGCGCTCGTAATAAACATACATATATAGATAATACATAACATAAAACGTAAATAATAAAACTGTGAGGTGATATGTTCTGTGCGTATGTGTGAATAATGACTCCATCATGTTCATGTTGAAGCATGGTGTTGAGTACTGTTTTAGACGTGTATGAGAAAGATGGAGAATGTTGAGTAAGAAGTAATAGACGTGTATGAGAAGGATAGAGAAAAATGAGTAATACATTTTAGAGGTGCATGAGTAATAGGGGAGATAATTAGTGAGTTTTAGACGTGTATGAGAAAGATAGAGAATGTTGAGTAAGAATAGACGTGTATGAGAAGGATGGAGAGTGCGTGTGGACGAGGAAGCGGGTCTACTCACCGCGCGGGATGTTGAGGCTGTCCGACACGCGGTGGACGTCCCTCCTGGCGTGCTCGAGGGCCAGCTCCACGGTCTCCAAGATCTCCTTCTGGCTGGCACACCCCGGCGAAGGCGCTGCCGGCGACCCGCAGGACGACCCGACGCTCACCTCCTCCTCGACCTCCTGCTTGACGTCGACGAGCGTGTCGAGGAAGCTCAGGTTGTCGCTGGAGGGGCACGTGAAGCCGATCTTCTTCTGGGCGTTGTCCTCCAGGCGGCCGCGCAGAAGGGGGTGGTCGGGGTAGGAGCCGTACGAGGTCGGGCTCAGGCTGGAGCTCAGCGCCTGGTTCTCGGCCAGCAGCTCCGTGATGTTGATGGAGGCCTCGAAGCCGTCCTTCTTGGGGGCGGAGGGCGGGCGGGCGTAGGGGGACACGTGGTGGGGCGACGGGCCCGAGCCGGACACGTGCATGGGGCCCGGGGGCGACATGGACACGTGGTGCTGGGCTTGCGGGGAGAGGGACAGGTGGGAGGTCGGGGGGGAGGGGGGCAGGGACACGTAGGTGGTGGAGGGCGGCGGGGAGAAGGGCTCCTCCTTCACCTTGTCGAGCTCGCCGGGCAGGTGCTGGGGGGAGTGGAAGGAGGGGGGGGAGTAGCAGGGGTCGGACCACTGGGACGGGGAGGGCACCTGGCACTCGCCGTAGCCGCCTCCTTCGTGGCCGGGGCTCAGGCTCACTCCGGGGACGGCCTGATTCATCTGCAAGAGACAAAACGCAACTTTATAGCACTTTATAGCAAATTTGACAGCGCACTGCAACGTCGACAGCGCCCTGCAACAACTGTATCACAGGCGCGACCCGACCTCACCAGCTGCGCGCACCGAACAATACCATCGGCCTATCTTTACGGCCGATCTTAATGGAAACTCACACCCGCACGGCAGAGTTCAGTCACTGGCCTAACGCAAGGGGCGAGTGGGCGAGGGAGCGGGGCGTCGCGAGGGGCTGGCATGACCGTGGGCGGCCGAGGAGGAGGGGAGGAGGAGGAGGAGGGGAGGAGGAGGAGGAGGAGGAGGAGGAGGAGGAGGAGGAGGAGGAGGAGGAGGAGGAGGAGGAGGGAGGAGGAGGGAGGAGGAGGGAAGGGAAAGGGGGAGGGGAGGGGAGGGCGGCATGAAACGACTACTGAAGCCGATGAAGAAGCGGGGCTGAATCGAGGCAGTGTCCAGGGCGAGGCGGAGGGAAGGAGTGTCTCGGCGGTGGGAGGGCATGAAGGGAGGGGGCGAAGGGGGGGTGATGGCGCTGAGACTGGGTAGCAAGAGAGGGGAAGGGGGGGGTGAGGCGAGGAAGGAGGGGTGGGCGAAGGGGGGGGAGGGGGAGTTGAGCACATACTGCGTAGCCAGTTGCTGCATGAGGGGGGTGGCAGAGAGGGGGGGGGAGATGTTCATGGGGAGGGGAAGGGAGGGAGGAGGGAGGGGGGGTGGCCGGACGGGAGATAGGGAGAGAGGGGGGAGGGTGATGACGCAGTTACCAAGCAGACCCCCCGTTATGTGCCCACTACCCACCCTGCCCACACATATCCACTTACAGCACCGCACCTCACACTCGCCGCGGGAATCGAGCCAGTGCCCCTCGCCGCGATGCCCACAATCCCCTCTAAAAATCACTTCACTCTCTCTTCCTTCTCTCCCTTTCCGAAAAATAAAAGATATATTCGAGTTGGTAAAAGCATCCAGAGACTGACAAACACTCGCACACACAAACGACCCGACGGTGTAACTTGTTGCTGAGAATGGAATCATGAACACTGCATGACGAAGTAAAAAAAAAAATCTTCAAAAAAGAGGCATTATCCACTTAAATTCCTCCTCCGAAATCTTAAACATCCCACTAATCTGAAAGCCAACAAATTGAACTATAATCCCCCGTAAAATCAAGAGCTAAATGAGCACATCACTAAAAGAAATTTTACATACGAAGTTAAGTTCTAGTCGGGCCAGAGATCTCGTTCGCTCGCGCACTGCCAGCCAAACCACCTGTAGCTTTCTCTTCCTGAACTCGTCCCTTTTTCGCTCTTCCAAGCCACCGCCATCACACACACCTCAAAATCAAGATACAAGACAACCCCTATCACTTACCTCAGAATACAGAAGCGTATGCATCATAATGCAAAAAGGATTCAGAAACTATGTCTCGGAGCACTACAGAGTACGTCTACTCCTGTCGGTCCCTCAGCTCGGAATAATCCTAGTGGATGTCGTCACCTGCACTAGTCTTTTCGCCCGCTCTGACGTTCCAGGGGTTGCCGGCGACCGTTTGCGAATTTGGCCTCGTCTTTTCGAATTTTGGAGCTGGGGGTTAATTTCACGACAAAAGCATGTTTATCTGCATTCAAGACTATTAATTTGATATAGAAATAATATAAATTAAGAGTGTATTTAAAACACGATGTGATAACCCGGTGCCAATGACGTCAATGGTAACCATGACAACGCTGGCGCAGCGACCAAACAGTGCACAGAATATAATCCACTCCTGTGCTCCAATTGGTTGAGAAGTTTCAATGTTGTTTTACTCAAATGAACTTTATTTGCACAATTGACTCAAATAATATCATAGCTCAGTATTCTCCCTAATAATCGGAGCCTCTCCTTTCACTCTCGCTGGCAACCCTCTCTCGCCCTCTCGAAGTGAAAGTTATTCAGCGGCTCCGAGCGAGAAGGGCGCATTCCCACAAGTATATTTCCGAGAACAGTTTACATCATGGATCATCTAATTACCCCGTCGTAGCTCTACCGATCAGCCAACTAGCCAACACCCACACTCGCGCAGTATGGAAACCGTTCATTCTCTCCAACACTGCACTCCATTTTGCTTCTCCTGACCCCCCCTCCCTCCCTCCCTCCCTCCTCCCTCCCCCGTGCAGCTGCGGCTAGGCCTCGGGGCGTGCTACATATCTACTTAAAAATCTCCTCCTCCTGCTGTCCACTTTGACGACCGCGGCCTCTGACGTTACGGCCGGAGAATTCACTTTGCGTGCCGTAACGTCCAAAGTGCTCTGCGTTACAGCCTCCTCGTTACCCCACGCCCACGCCCCTTTTTTTCGAAACCTCTGCCGCGGACCTCATGTACACACATTACCCAACAAGGCGACGCAACCAGCTGAGAGCGTCTCGTGCCAGATGCAATTGCCTCGGCTGCAGACCCCAGGCTCCTTGGATCATGCGACTCGGGCATTTTTATCATGTGCCTCATGTTCCCCCATTCGGTTTCTGATATCATGGAAGACTTGGAGGTGATGCGGCCTTTGCAGCGCTGAACATGATGCACTTGCAATAATATTGATATTAGTTAGATCCTCCCCAGCGCTGATATAACGAAATTTATCTTCTTCTTCATCATCTTATTCTTCTTTTTCTTCTTCTTCTTCATCTTATTCTTCTTTTTCTTCTTCTTCTTCATCATCTTATTCTTCTTTTTCTTCTTCTTCTCTTTAAAGCCGCACCTAATCCCATATGATTTGATATATGTGGTGTTCTCTGCAACAATCTGATTCCTTTTTTCGCTACCCAAGACTATCGACACTTTGGCCAAAATCCCCAAACGCTTTCAACCCAAAGAACAAGTAATCCCATAACTTAACCTCGAAACTCCATAACTCTTTTTTTTTTCCCCCACCATGTGCGCACCACCACGCAGCCCCCACCCCCTCCTCCCCCACCTCCTGCCCCCGTACCCAAGGCTCTTCGCCCAGTGTCATACCATTATCTCGTACCCAGCATCAACGGCAAATACCTTATTACCAGAACAAGCTACCACCACATGCCTGGCATCGTTAGCCGCAGAACCAAGCGTTGCATAGAGTATCATGGGCACGAAACCTCTGGGTATGAGACTGCGGGCAAGGAATACATTACCACGACATAACAGCATGGGACTGTAATCGTATTTTCTCACACGCCCCGGAATGTTAACAACTTCGTTCTTCTGAGAAACCGAATACTCATGCCTTTTATTGGGAAAAGAAGGGCCTATTTCACCTACCCGATACCACGTACCCAACGCCACACACCCTACCCCCTAACCTTCTCCAACTTCATATTCCAACGATCTTAATTCCCCTCTGAGCATCACCATCCTCATCTTCCGAACGACACTATCACTTTCACCCTTCGCACTCTCATCTAGCGACACTCAGCCTTCAAGTATCACCATTACACAGTACGCAAACATCATTAGCTGATACCGAGGCTCGTACCCAGGACCCCATCTTGCTATTACAGTCGAGACGCTGTCCCTCTTTCGTAAGTGTACGAAGCAGCGTCTTCTAAGTGTTTTGATTGTCTCTGAGTGTAATTCGATACTGGAACCGTGATCATAAATCCGTCGATGTGTATTTATGGTATTTGTTTTGTAATATCGTTACGTGTTTAGAACAAACGGTGCGTGTACATTCATTCTTATCATTTTTTTAATGAATTGTATGTATGATCATAAAACAAACGTATTTGAAGACATTCATTGATATATTTTTTTAATGAATTATATATATATTATATATATATTATATATATATATATATATTTTTAAAAAATGAATTGTATATATATATATGATCATAAAACAAAAGTATTTGAAGACATTCATTCAGATAATTTTTTTATAATGAATTATATGTATATATATCATAAGGCATGGCCCAAGTACCAAAAAATATTCATTTAATACTATTACCACTTACCATAATTATTCAGACAAGCTGTAATATTCCAAGGCATGAATTTTATACGCAGTTTTATCAGTACTACAAGCACCTTGTATCAGAAAGGCGCCATCTTGCAACAGATAATGAAATCTCTTATACTTATCTACTTTACTTATACTCACTTATACTTCTCTTATACTTATACTTATCTTACTTATACTTATACTTATCTCTCTTATACTTATCTTATACTTATCTCTTATCTTATACTTATACTTATACTTATCTCTTATACTTATACTTATCTCTTATACTTATCTCATACTTATACTCTTATACTTATACTTATCTCTCTTATACTTATCTATACTTATACTTTATATGTCTTATACTTATACTTATACTTATCTCATACTTACTTATCTCTTATCTCTTATTCTTATACTTATACTATCTTTATACTTATATGACATTTGTAGAAAAGATATGAACGAGAATGAATATTTTCACAATACAAGAGATGTATTTGACCGGTTTCGAATATATCTTCGTCAGAAATACACGTATTTCTGAATAAGATACATTCGTCAGAAATACACGTATTTCTGAATAAGATACATTCGAAGCCGAGAATGGACATCTTCACAATACAAGAGATGTATTTGACCGCTATATTCATTCTCATTCATACCTTTTCTACATTTGTCAACATGAACACGGTTCAGATATGATATTTTTTCTACCATGGTCGGGTGCAGGAAAAAAACATTACATTCTTATGTTATCTAAACCTGTCCAGTATTATCAAATACAATATATTTTTCATGTTGTATCGCTCAGCATGCTTACACTGCATGTACGGCTCATGGTACTATGTCTATTGTAGTTACAGTTCGGAGTCACTACAGTTTTGTATAGTGTTACCGTGACTGTGCCAAGTCGGGTCACCTTACCCATACAAGCGAATTAATGTCATAGCTTTTACCAGTTGTCTGAGTGTGGTAAGCGCATTGCTAGAAGTAACGCACACACACACACACACACACACACACACACACACACACACACACACACACACACACACACACACACACAGCACACACACACACACACACACACACACACACACGCACACACACACACACACACACACACACACACACGCATGCACAAACATACACACACACACACACACACACACACACACACACACACACACACACACACACACACACAACACACACACACACACACACACACACACACACCACACACACACACAAACAAACACACACCACACACACACACACACACACACACACACACACACACACACACACACACACACACACACACACACACACATCTACCTGTTATCTGAGTCTGGTAATCCTTGGTTGAAGAAAGTATGAATAAGAAGTTGATAAAAGTGTGAATAAGTAAACCTGATAAGGCGAGATGCATTCTTCATCAACCATTGTTAAAACGAACTGTCATGTAGCCAAACGAATGTGTACACCTATCTACCGAATATCTATCGACACAGTACAACGATAAAACAAAGTCTATCAACCCCTTGCATATCTATCGAAGCAGGACAGCAATAGAACAATATTAGAACAATAACCCATGCACATCTATCGAAACAGTTCAACAATAAAATAATCTACCAACCCCAAACATATCTATCGAAACAATACAACAATAAAACAAAAAGTCTTGTCTCTCAACCCCATGCAAATCTATCGAATCCGACCAACAATAAAATAATCTATCAACCCCAAACATATCTATCGAAACAGACCACCAATAACAACAAGAATCTACCGACGCCAGACAGCACCGTGCATTTCCACATCACACCGGACCAACTACCACGCTTAGGCCTCATCAGCCAACACATCTTACGTCTCCCCCCCCCCATAACACATTATTACGTCTCTCTCTCTCTCTTTCTCTCTCTCTCTCCCCAATAACAGATCTTACGTCACTCTCTCTCTCTCTTTCTCTCTCTCTCTCTCTTCCCTCTCTCTCTCTCTCTAACAATAGCACATCTTACTTTCTCTCTCTCTCTCTCCCCCAATACGTCACTCTCTCTCTCCTTCTCTCTCTTCTCTCTCTTCTCTCTCTCCTCTCTCTCTCTCTCTCTCTCCTCTCTCTCTCTCTCTCTCTCTCTCCCTCTCACTCTCTCTCCTCTCCTCCTCTCTCAACCCCCAACTCATCTCACGTACCTCCCTCTCTCTCTCTTCTCTCTCCCCCTATCTCCGCCCAAAAGAAAGAAACCTTGTACACGTAGCGCGTGAATATCTTAGCTTCCTCGCCGTTTCATCGCGCGCATCGATTTCATATCTTAATTAAGCCTTCTTGCCTGACGTCAGTCCGCGAATATTAATCGCTTTTAATCGTTTATTTCGTTTAACTATCCGTTTATTCGCCAGGCGCACGTAGGACGAGGGAGAGGGAGAGGGGGGGAGGGAGGGAGAGGGAGAGGGAGAGGGAGAGGGAGAGAGGGAGAGAGAGGGAGAGGGAGAGAGAGGGAGGGGAGAGGGAGAGGAGGGAGGGAGGAGGGAGGGAGGAG